TAAACTTGATTTGGTCTATTTTTTGAGGCAGTTCTGCTCTGCTCACCGAAGTTCCAAGAGTGATGTCTCCCCTGTTGGTCTTGCCATGTTTATCCCAAACAGAAATCTCTAAAGGATTAAAGAAGAAAGAGCAGAAGAAGAGCTATGAACTGTTGTTAGTACTCTACTCCATTTAGTACTGGGCAGTAAGAAGAGGTACTAATTCTCCAAATCCTGCAACTATTAACAGTCCATTAGGGCTTCCCTGGTGGCGCACTGGTTAAGAATCCGCCTGCCAATGTAGGGGACACAGGCTCGAGCCCTGGTCCAGGAAGATCCCACATGCTGCGGAGCAACTAAGCCCGTGTGCCACAACTACTGAGCCTGTGCTCTAGAGCCCACGGGACACAACTACTGAAGCCTGAGATCCACAACTAGTGAAGCCTGCACGCCTAGAGTCCGCGCTCCGCAACAAGAGAAGCCACCGCAATGAGAAGCCCGCACACTGCAACTGGGCAACGAAGACCCAACACAGCCAAAAATAAATAGATTAATTAATTAATTTTAAAAATTATTTTTAAAAAAGGTCTAGAGGGACTTCCCTGGCGGTCCAGTGGTTACGACTCCTCACTTCTGAACTAAGATCCCACAGGCCATGCAGTGTGCCCCTCTGCCCCCCAAACAGAGATCTAGACTGTGTATTTGTGAGGAAGCAGTATAAGTCTCTGGACCTTCTGCTCAATTTTGCTGTGAAACTATAACTGCTCTAAAAAATAGTCTATTTAAAAAAAAACGGTGCCTAGAATTATTTTTTAAAAAATGTTTACAACTGCCAAAGTGCAGAAAGGCATTAAAACTACGCTCCCATTACTTTAAAACAGCAAATGTTAAAACAAAATGAAAAAAAAAGGATTCATTCATTTATTCAATAAATATTTCTTTCTTTCTTTTTTTTTTAATATATATTTTTATTTTTGGCTGTGCTGGGTCTTCGTTGCTGCCCGCGGGCTTTCTCTAGCTGCAGTGAGCGGGGGCTACTCTTTGTTGTGGTGCGCGGGCTTCTCATTATGGTGGCTTTTCTTATTGTGGAGCATGGGCTCTAGGCGCATAGGCTTCAGTAGTTGTGGCAGGCGGGCTTCAGTAGTTGTGGCACGCGGGCTTAGTAGTTGTGGCTTGCAGGCTCAGTAGTTGTGGCGCACGGGCTTAGTTGCTCCAGTCCCTCAATTGGTCCAGTCCCTTAGTTGCTCCAGTCCCTCAATAAATATTTCTTGAACTCCCGACTGTGAGGCAGGCATTGTTCCTGGTCCAGTTGGTAGACAACTCTTTCACTGCTGCCTCTTAAAGGTGCACACCACAATCAATGTCATTATATTCAACAAATTGTGGAATGCACATTATATGCCTGACACTGTCCTAAAAACATAGGTTTAAGAAAAAAAATTAAGTACAATCAACACAGGTGGCTTAACATAGTAATATGTTAACCAATATATATTATTCGGGTCTCTCTGTTTGCTTTCTTGCTGTTATTATTTTGGGCTACTCCATTTCTTATTAGCACCAAAAGAAAGATGGCAGAGAGGACACTAGGAGATAAAGGTAGATTATATCACTGAGTAAATTTTTAGCCACAAAGAGTAGAACAGTTATAAGGAAAGCTAAAATTTCCAATGGACTTTTTCTTACTTCACATTAATGATCAAGCTTAAAAAAAGCTGAGCTGACACTTCAGTAACTTCTCACTTCTTTCTAACATGTAGGTACAAAACCAAAAAAAAAAAAAAAATTCAAATGTAAGAAATTCTTGCTTTGCCATTTCTCTAATGACCAGTCACAATTTCAACAAGTCAGTGAAAACTATTCAGCCTATTAACATGACTTTTTAAACAAAGTCTTGAGTAAATGCATTTTGGTTAATTTTGGTACAGAAACAATTTTACCCTAATCACTTTAAATCAGCCGTTTATACTTTGTTATAACTTCTGATATAAAATAGAAAGCCCCTATTTTAATACAATCTAATCCAATAAAGTTATTACAAATTATGGGTTTTGAGTCCATTTTTATGATTGCCTGATAACTTCCTGACATTTCATGATTTCTCAAAAATGTCCTAGGATATCAAAGTTTATGCCTATGGAGAGGTTAAAAAAAAAAAAAAAAGGAGAAAAGAGAACGGTTTTACTCTGTCTACAAAGCAGGATGTGGCTAAGAACAGGCCTTTAATGTAAAGTGCATGTTAGAAACCTGTCGTTTTGAAAAGCCTGCATGCACATTGGCTGGCATCCTAAAATGTGTGTGAAACTTGATGGCATTTGTGAAGGTCTATGAAAGCTGCAAACACCTATTACAAAGAACTCGTGGCTACCCGAACCAGAGCTCCTTCTCTCTCCATATGGAAGCATCATTCTGCCAAGTTAGGCCTGAGCGCCCCATCATTATCTCATTACCTATGTGCATGATCCCCACAGCCACCATTCAAGGAAAACCCTCAATCACAGCCCTGCCAGGCTGCCCATTGCTGCCCAACACACCACACAACACTGAGTCTCTCACCACCAGAGAACTGGAGGTTTATTTTTCAGAATCCTTCATTATTCTAATTTTTTAAAAATCTCAAATATTAATAAAACAAGGCAACTGGAAACAGACATTTCGTTCCCCTTCTACTTCTTGGAATTTAAACTCAGATTTTGCACTTCTCTTAGCACAAATTATGTGATCATTCTTTTCCCTCTATTAACCTCCAAGCCACTCAAGGGCAAAGGGCAATACTCTACTGGAATGCCTTTTTCTTTTTTTTAACTCTTCGCTGACATATACTTGTATAGAGACAACGGATGAGTCATTCTTCCTCATAAACTTAAAAACAAGTGAAAAAAATTCTCAATTAGCTTACACAACTTCTCCCTTAAAAGTCTTTTCCAATTATTTTCACTGTAGGAAATTTCAAGCATAGACAGTAGAAAGCATAGTATCACAAGTCCTCCTGTACCCATCACCCAGCTTCAACAATGACCAACTCCCAAGCAAGTTCCCTTCATCGACATCCCCATCCACTACCACCCCAAATTCTTTTGAAGCAAATCCAAGATTTCCTTTCATTCATATATATTCCAGTTCCCACTGATTTTCAACAACTCCCTGTCTTTGCCTTCCTTCCCACCCTCTACCTCCAAAAAGAAGTGTACAGAATACAGGTGATTGTAGCTATTTAACTGGTTTTCTTCTCTTAGCTACCCCCCCTCTGGATCACCTTCTATAACGTTCACCAACATCACCGTGAAGTGCTCACCATTGTGTTCAGTTCCTTTAACTACAGCCTATTTCACTCAGAAATATATTGTATTCCCCCCACCCCAATAATTCCTTTCTCTAGTTTGAACAAGTGAAAAAAAAATCGTGCCAAATTTTCTATTCTCTTGATGAAAAATTACTTCTGATTTGTTCCCCTCATCCCAGAAAAGGTAAAAAGAGCCAAAGGGAGTGGAGAAGGAATAGAAGAAGAAAGAAATTCAACACTTAAAATGGTAGATTCCGCCTAATTGGCCGTGTGTAAATACTTAAAACCATCTGTTACTTTATTTTTAAAATGAATATTTGTAAACATCAGTCGAAAATTGGAGTCCGTTTTGATAGAGGATGTTTATAAAATGAGTTATCTTCATGTAAGGGAGCTATTGCCTTCAGGATTTTGGTTTTAATACCAGTGGCTGCTTCTGAGCCTAAGAAATGGTTATGTAAAAACAATTAAAGCAAAAAAAAAAAAATTAAGGGAGGATGCGCTGTTTCTATAGCTGCTCTAACCTTGTTTTATTTTGACGTGAGATTTCCTCGCCTCAGCTCAGAGAGCAGCCACCACCCCACGCTTTCTCCTCCACGCCCTTTACAAATGGGATTCCGATGGGAGGCACTTTCGAGTTCATCAAGGGAAACGGCTCATCTTGAGAATACTTCAGGGCGATAATTGAGATTTCATCTACTCCTCCCTCTGGACTCTGCTCTGCCCATCCCTTGCCTAGTGATTGCCTCAGGAATCCAGAGGAAGGCAGGGAAACAAGCTCCAGTCCACAAGCCTCTGCCTCTCCTCCCCGAGGACGGCCTGTGCACCGCCTTGGCATCCTCCTGTCGCCTTGGTCCGGGGAGAGGAGCTTCCAGACGGCACGCTACTTGTTTATCCATCCGCGCCCCAGGTTAAGAATCCCGGCGGGGCGCTCCCTACCCCAGTTTAGACTCTCTCCTCTGAGCAGTTAAAAAATATAAAATCTACCCCGCGAATGCCTCTTCCTGAAGGTGATAACACCAGATCTCCCTCTAACTCCGACTACTTTCCTCTCCAGGCCAAACGCCGCAGTCCCCACATCAAATCGAGGAACTGAGCTGCCCCTCAAAAAATCACAAGTGCACCCCTAGACCACCACAGGGCAAACGTCCTCGCCACTAGGAGGAAGACACCAGTTCTCGCCCCTGCGCTCCAAAACCCAAGACCCGGGACCGGCCCCGCCTGGGCCGCCCCGCCCCCCGGAGGAGCGCCCGACCCTCCCGCACCTCCACGAAGAGAAAGCAGCCTAGGACCTCGGGTCTGGGCGCCGAACACCGAACGCAGCCCTGAAAATCCCCGGGCCTCCACGCCCCCATTGGGTCGGCCAGCGACGCATCGGTTACTCGCTCCGGGGGATTACGGCTCTTCCCAACACACACCGCTGGCCTCGGGGCGCCGAGGAGAGGGAGTCCCGCCCGCGCCTCCGGCTCAGGCCGCGGGGGGGACCCAGATCCGAAGCCCCTGCTCGGGCCGCCGGGGACCCACCCCAGCGCCCCTCACCTCCGAAGGGCGAATCTGGCTCGCACCTCCTGCTCAAGCCAAGGCCGACGAGAGGCTCCCGGACCAGCGCCTACCCCCAGGCCGCCGGGACCCCGACCAGCGCGCGGTCGCCTCCACCCGGGCAGCCCGGCCCGCTCCCCGCGCCCAGGCGCGCCAGGCACCTTCCCCAGCATCCCGGCGGGCCCAGCCCCTCACTCACCCAGAGCTCGGTGCCCCAGCTCATGGTGCAGGGGGCGGGAAGGGGCGCGCCGCGCGGCAGGCGCGGCTCTCCGGTCCCCTCCCAAGCGATCCCTTCGCCCCTCGAGATCCCCGCGATCGAGGAAAGCCCGTGCCCGCGCGGTCGCCGCCTCCTCCGGCTCGCCGCTCTTCGCCTTGAGTCTCCTCGGCGGCTCCTCCTCCCCTTCGCTCCTCAGCAAAATGGCCCGAGGAAGCAGCAGCCGCGGCCGCCGCAGCGCCCGCCAGCCCGCCCGCCCCACAGCCGGAGAGCAAGGGGAGGGGGAGGGGCGGGAGGGGGCGGGACTGCACGCCGGGGGCGGGGTCGGCCTGACAGCTCGCGCACGCGCGCGCCCCGCCCCCGGCCCCGGCCCCACCTCCCCCTAGGCGCCCTCCGCCCCGCCCACGTGGCCCGGGGGTCCGGAAGGACCCGGAGGGAGGAGGGGGGACCGCCGGGACTTGGAGGCCCGGACCTTCCCCCCCAGCCCCCCGGTTTTTTTTATTACTTATTAGCAACCACACTCTCTGCTCTTAGGACAACCACTCGCCTTTGAACATAGCCGGCCCCTGTTATTACGGGTGCTCTGCAGAGGCCTGAGGTTGCTCCCCGGCGCCGACCGCCGCTTTGAATTTCAGGACCATACTTTTCCCTGGCAGCCATTCACACCGACAGGAGTTCGCTCGCGTGGTGTTTCCCCACCGCTCGGGAACCGTGGAGGCCCGAGGAGCCTTGCAGCCTTGCGCGGTAGGAGTGGGGCCTGGTACGGTGCTGTGTGTGTACTGCACACAGAGGGACGTCGAGGCAAAGAGCGACCAAACAGCTTAGAGTTTGATTCCTGGGGAAGGAATCCAGGGGCGCACAACCAGTGATTTCTAATCTCTGAAACCAGTGATTTCCAACTTGTTCGGCCAAGAAACTCTCAGACGTGAAATGACGTTGCCGCTTAGTGGGTAAAAGGAAAGTCGCTGGGTCCACAGATAACGCGTTTGGTTCCAATCCAGCCTCCCGCACTTACTAGCTGGGTGGCCTCCGACAATGCCTCCACCTCTAGAAGCTCAGAGCCCTCGCCTGACAAATGGAGTTATTTAATAACGTAGCCATCTTGCCATGTGCTGGCGAGGATCAAGGAAATGAGCACCTGTTACCTGGCCTGTTGTTGGTAAACCGAGCTCATTTTTCAGTAGATACGGACTCCTTTTTCTCTGTATTTGGAGGGTCTACACAAATAACATTCCAGGAATGGAGAGTTGCTTGAGTTCCAACTCCTTCCTCTGAATCACTAGGCCTTTTCTCCCCAACTTTTCTTTCTTCCTCAGCTAATGTTACTGACTTTTCTGAATAACTGTGGACTCCTAAAATGGGCTCCATTTTAGAAATATTTCACAGTGGTGCATCTCTCCAGTCCCACTATACCCAGCCTCAACCAGCTTACTCTCCACGAGAGGGTGGAGCAAGGGTGGTGTTTTACTCTTGCAGATAAACCAAGTTCTACTTCCTTTGTTGGACAGAATTACAATAAATTTAAACTGTCAAAACTGTTTTGGTCTGTCTTCAGTTACAAGTTCCCTCCATCCCCTTGTTTTTAGTGTGTGTATTTAAATATTTTGTTCTCAGTTACCAGGTCTGGGAACTCTTTACCCAAGCCTGCTAGATGTGTAACAATCAGAACTACCATCCACTTATCTCCCAAGGTAGATTAATAGCCAGAGTGAGTTGGAGGGGTTAGAAATGCAAACAATACTGCACGGTTTAGTTGGCTATTTGGAAATGGTAAGTGAAATGCAGATCATCTAACGAGACCCTGCCTCAGTATTCACCTCAATTTCCCTTCCTGCCAAGGTTTAATATTTTTTCAAGTACACTTGACTGCCTTCTAGAAGACTTCTCAAAACCAGAGTGACCACTTGTGAAAAGATGCTAATCAGGAGGAAAAGCAACCTGCTGCTCTAAAGAAGTGAAAGAAGAGGGACAAAGAGGAAGGGACGGCAGAAAAAAAAAGAGAGAGACCATATTAAAAGGAAACCTTTTGGGCTTCCCTGGTGGCCCAGTGGTTGAGAGTCCGCCTGCCGATGCAGGGGACACGTGTTCATGCACGGGAGGATCCCACATGCCGCGGAGCGGCTGGGCCCGTGAGCCATGGCCGCTGAGCCTGCGCGTCCGGAGCCTGTGCTCCGCAACGGGAGGGGCCACAGCAGTGAGAGGACCGCGTACCGCAAAAAAAAAAAAAAAAAAAGAATACATGTAAAATGCTTAGCACGTGAGGGCACACGTATTGGTTCCCTTTCCTTTCCTCTTGTTTTCTGGAGGATTTTTACTTCCTCTATCAAGTAAAGCAATCCTTTAAAGCACTTCTGATGCAGCTAGACAGACTGCCTGAACTACAATTGATTGGCGGTTGTCTATTGGTGAAGTACTCTTCCTAATGAAATTCTCAAGATTTTTTTTTCCGTTAAAATAGCTTCCATCAGTTTCTAGCTTTAAATTCTCCATTTGCTTATCATTCAAACTCTAGTGGAAAAAGCTAAAGTGGGATAAAAGTAGGAACTCTGTGGTGAGTAGAATCTTAAAACTGAAACCAATTTTTGTACCTGATAGTGGAATTCCCCTGAAGTTCTAGAAAGATGTGCATAAAATCAGGAAAAACCAGCTGTATGTGGCTGAGCAAGTTACACACTGTGCCACCAAACTGAGGAGTAGTGAATTGGAAATTTTTCTGCAGCCTGCAGGATTCAAGATGGATCAGGGCCTAGCTTTTCCAAGATCACTCTGCAAGGAGAGGCCGTGGGCTTCCCCCATGCCCCAAGAAATGACATTTCAAGCTGAAGAACGAAAGTGACATTTGACTTCTGAATGTGTTGCCAGACCCCAATTTGACTTTTGGTTCGCTATACTGTGTTTATAGAAGGTTTTGGTCTGAAATGTCATCTCTTTTGATAAGAAAGACAAATGGCAATCATAACTGGAGAATATTAACCCAATAATTACATTAAACATCTCTGGAAATTTCTAAACTGTTGCTAAACATTATGAATCACACTAGGTTCAAACTACCAATTCTGCTACTAGTGGCAAACTTCAGTGGATCTTGCAAGGTTAGAGGAAACAGAAAAATAAAATCCACTTGACTAAGAGGGTAAGGCTGAAAGTCAGGTTTAGGAGATAGTATTTCCAGCCCCTCCAGGCCTTTTCAGTCAGTACCTCAAAGTTTAATGCCCCTTTGAAAATGTTGCCAGGGAGAGGCAGGCCTAACTTGTTCTGTTACTCAACAGGTCTGTTCCCAGTTACAGTACCATGATTATGCAAACAATCTGTTCTTGAAACTCTGAAATCATGTGTTTAAATATAAAAATATATAAATAAATATAAAATTGCCAAGATAGCAGTTTTCACAGAATTTGAGAAGTAACTGTCTAATCAATACTTCACTTAAGTCTTTGTAATTTGTGTTCCCTTTCTTACTTCTCTCAATTCCAAGCTAATGACTGGCACAATATAGTTCTCAAATACCTGAAGAAACTATTCCTCATAAACGTCTGGACAGATGCCATTGGTATGTGACCCTGTGAAGGTCACATAATAATTCCCAAGTGAAAAGGAGCAAGGAATAAGAACCCAGCTTTGAGCCCTCGTAAAACTGTTTTCCAGAGACTAAAAGACAAACGTCTTCTACTTTATAAACTAGTTATTATAATATTAAATAAAATTAATATTCTTCCTGATCAATCCGTTTTTAGAAGCCTATTATATTCAAATTTAAAACCAGAGATTCTCAAACATGGTACCTCACTTTAAAAAGTGAACTATAATAATACTCCAATACTGTAAATTGCCCTTAAAAATGAAACTGCACTTGAAAATCCCCATTTCTTTTAACAATTAGTTTCATACTGAAGTGAGAATCAGCTAACTGCCTTTGGTATTTCCTCTAGATACCTAAAAGAAAGTATCAACTATTGTACATTTCTTCTATGTTCTTTCATACAGCTGATTGTTAAAATACTTTCTGAAAATTTCTCTTGCATTTCACTTGATAACACACTGGTTACTCAGATTCTGGGATTTTATTTTTTTGAAAATTTAAAATTATAAGAATTTAAAAGAATAATAATAAAATTATAAGAATTAGAAAGCTGTGTACGGCATAGTGCAAGAAGCGCAGACCCTGTTCTGAAGCAGATGAGGCTCCAGTCCTGGTTCTAAAGATGCTTGCCAAAAATTACCCAACTCATTGTGTGATCTTGAGCAAATCACTTGAGTTCCTTGGATTTGTTTTCACATCTGTTAAATAAGGTGAAAGGATCTGTTGATTATCTAAGGACCCTTCCAGCCTCATATGAAATGAAATTTTTGAAACAATTGCAGGACAGGGATTAAGTGCTGGGCTTTATGGGAGAGGCCTGAATGAGAGTCATTTATAAATGATCAGACCACCCTGAATAAATTAATTTATCTAACCAAGTCTTATCTTTAAAAAAGGAACAAAAATATAGATCTTATAAAGATTTGGGTCTTAAATTATAAAATGTACATATGAAGTACTTAGCAGAATATTTGGCAAACTTAATTGCTCAATAAATAGATTAACTATTATCTCCTTTGTGGATTTCCAAAACAATAAAGTTTCTTCTTCTCAGTTTCCTGTAAGATGGGGTAGTAAGATCAGATGAGAATTCTGTTCAAAGAAGTAAGGTTGCATATTCACAATAGATGGCTAAGGATATGAGGTTGGAGAAAGAAGTAAACCACCAAATAGTAAACATTGCCTTTCTAGCTTCTCGGCTACACCTCAGTACCCTGTTTTTGTTCTTGCAGAGGGTGTGACAGAACCTGTACTGGTTTTTGACTCAAGGGAAGAATTCATAGATTCATGACTTTTACTACTATGATTGCACAGCTAAAAGATCTAGGACTCTCCCTCCTCTATTCTGTACTTTCCCAACTGATTCTTTCTAACCTGAGCGCAGCACTTTAGCTCCATTTAAATGCATCGTGTTAATTTCAGTTTCTAGGTCCAGTTAAAAACGAAGAATCTGATTCTGTCATAAAACACATTAGTACATTGATAGTCACTCAGTATTGCGATTCCTGGTGGTTTTTATTTTCTCCTCTTTTGCTTAAATGATTGCACACAAAGAGCATGCATTATTTGTGTGGCAAGAAAAACAAAACAAAACAAAAAACAACCAAAAAAACCTCAAAAAACTAAAAACTAAATAAACCTAGCTAGTCTGTTGGCAATTTTAATAAGCACGTTCCTCTCTACAACTCCTTGATAAAAAATAGTGAGTTGAAGGCAACCAGCTACTGAATCCTTCCCCTAAAGATCTCCTTACATAAATTAAAAAAATAATAATAAATAATAAAGAAAAAAGGTCTCCCTACAAATTCCAAAGATAAGAGGCAAAGGAAGTTTCCACACAGAATTAAAAGATTCATACTCCAGTGGTCGGATAAACTAGCATGAAGCAATATAACATAGTATTTAGTAGTTTCCACGTGATTCCCAGTTCAACCTGGAACAAATGACTTAATTTCTTAGAGCTTCAGTTTGCTTACCGGTAAAGGGGGATAATGCTTATACCTACCTCCTATCTCATCAGATTGTTCCAAGGATTAAATGCAAAAATGCACACAAAAGGTCTAATGAAGTGCCTAATAAGGGCTCAATAAATTCCTATCACTACAACCACTTCGTCAAAAATTTCAGTGTGAAGAGCCTCAAAAAAACCAAAGGACTAAAGACAAGCCACGAACTTGGCATTTTCCACCGAGTCAACGCTGCTCGGGAAATCAGTCCCATCAACGGCCAGGCACCCTGGCGGTACCCCCACCCTTTGGAAAGCGGGGTGACTCGGTGGGCCGGGTCGCGCAGGCCCAAGGTCGCTTTCCAAGCTCCGCCGGGCTGAGGCGACGACCGGGCTGGTCCTGCCCAGCGACTGCTGCCATGGCAACCGCCACAGGGTCCCCACTGGAGGCGCCACCTCTTCTGGCTAAACCTAAGGTCCTCACAGCGGAAGCCGACTGAACGGCCTCGAAGTGGCCAGCTTAGGCCTCTCGGCGACTTCCCGGGCCCCACACTCCAGGAAAAAAGCCACAGTCCCTGCGCCGCTGGCCGCGGAGCCCCTGACCCCCCTACCAGGCCCTTCCGGCGGCCGCCGCCCTTTAACCCCCGGAAGTGGGCGGGAGAGGAAGCGGCTGGTGATGCTGGAACAAATATGGCCGCCCCGGCGCCCGTCGGCCCTTCGGGCTCCCGCAGTCCTCGGCTGGCCGCCGGCCTTCGGCTGTTCCCACTACTGGGGCTGCTGCAGCTGCTGGTCGAGCCTGGCCTGGGCCGCGTCCACCACCTGGCGCTCAAGGTAAGGCCGACCGGGGCCGGGTAGGAGCAGGCCGGGGGCCGGAGGCCGCGGCCGCTCCCGGGAGCTGGGGGCAACTTTGGCCCAGTGGAGGGGGGGTTGTCTGTGAGCGTTTGGGTTCCCGCCCTTTTTCCCGGGCGCGGCCTCTCTCCGAGAGGGGTCTGTTGGGAACTGTGGGGATGGCGGGAGTCCCCGGTCTGTCTGGAAGGGGCAGGAAGATTCGGGCTGAGAGAGGGGAAGGGGCTGAACTGCGGCGTAACCCCGAAGGACTCCGGAGGCCGCGCTTGCAGTCCCTGCTGGTTTCCCTAGCTTCCTTGCCGACAGCAACCTGCTTTTCCTCCTCTATTCTCACCTCCAACTTTTATGCCCCACTTCGCTTGTCCGCGGTCTCCACTTGTCCATGCCCTTGTACTTGGCAGAACCTTTGCCTCAATTTCCCGGTTCGGCTTCGGGCGCACTCTGGACTGATCAAAGCGGGAATCTCCAGGAGGAATTTCAAATCTCGCTTGAAATACGTGACCGGAAATTTAGACCCAACATTTAAAATATGTTTCTAATTAGAGGGCTTGCCTTTTTATCTCTCGCTCCTGTCATTGTCTGTCTAGGGAAGGGATTTATGATAGGCCTAGAATGATCCCTTGGATCTTGCTTTATAACTCAAAACATGCCTCCAGGCGATTCAGCAGGTTAATATATCTGGAAAGTAGAAAACTAAATCGTTATGACTCAAAACCTTGTGCATTGTTTTCATAATATACAATTTTCTTAGAAGTGTGGGATTGTAGAAAGTTTGCCTTATTAAAACAGTACTTTAACAAAGCATTGTATTTTGTGAATGTACAGTTTAAAGAATACAGAATCTGGATTAAAAAACCTGCCCAGACCCATACTCCATACCTTGGCTACCAGTTGTTTGTAAATAAAATGTATCCTGATTAAAATGGTTCTCAACCGCAGGAAGCCAAGTGAGTCTTGGCTCCTTTTGAGAATCTGCTGAAAGGTATTGAATCTCTCCCCAGAAAATGCAGGTAGAAATGTAGGCAAAACTTTCTTGGAATTTCTAGGGCTTTATAATCCTGCAGAAGCTTATCCATAGGCCCTAGTCCCCAGGTTTACGACTCCAGGAGATGAACTCCTAAAATTCTTTCACTTTATAGTTTGGGATCATGAGTCTTAGATGAAGTCATGCAACTGAGCTTATGTAGTTTATAAATTAGAGACAAAGCTAATACTAGGACACACTGGATCATGTCTCTTGGTTTTGGGCATTTCTAAAATTAAAGTATCAGATGGCCAGCATCAGTAGGTAAATAAATACTGACCATATTGGTATAGAGGAAAAAGTATACTATCCTCAATGGTAGAAGCAACCCGAGTTGGTGTAATTCTGGTGATTGATTTCTCCATATTGTGCTAAATTAATTAATATTTTTCATCTTTGTAATTGTTTCTCAAGTACTGTGGTGCCCTTTCCATAGTCAGTACTGTAGTTGCTCCTTTTCCTTAAAGTAAACAGTATGGCGTTTTGCCCAAGGAAATGGAAATCACCTGAAGAGAGCCTGTCAGAGCAGCAACATTAGATTATCTTCTTTTGCTTGAGACTGAGAGAAATAGGAGAATTTCAACCATACACCAAATAGACAGAATAGTATAGTGAACTCCCATGTAGCTGTCACCCAGCCTCAGTAACCATTAACCAGTGGCTAATTCTGCCCCTTCCCCACACAAATCACTTCTCACTTGGATTCTTTATTTTTTAATTAGAAACAAGCCTTTTCATTTTTTATTCAGTTTTCTTATCACATGCTACATTTTCCATCATTCTTCTGGTTTTCTGTCTTCTCAAATTTCTTCTCTTTTGTTCTTTAGATTCCTTAACTTTTTGAAACAACTTTATTGAGGCATAGTTTATATACATTAAAATTCACCCATTTTAAGTGTACAATTCAGTGATTTGTTAGTAAATTTACTGAGTTGTGCATCTATCACCACTGTTCAGCCATAGAACATTTCCATCACCTCTGTAAGATCCCTTGTGTTGGTTTACAGTTAACTCCTATTCCCACCTCCAGCCCCAGACAACCACTAATGTACTTTCTGTCTCCGTAGATTTGCCCTTTCTGGATATTTCATGTAAATGGAATCACACAGTATGTGATCTTTTGTGTGTGGCTTCTTTTATTTATGTTGTTGAGGTTCATACATGTTGTACTGTGTATTAGTAATTCATTCCTTTCAATGGCTGACTACTGTTCCATTGTATGCATATACCACCTTATGCTCAGCCATTCACCAGTGATGGACATTTGGGTTTCCTTTTTTGGCTATTGTGAATAATATTGCTGCAGACATTCACATGCAGGTCTTTGTGGGGACATATGTTTTCATTTTGCGGGGTGATAGCTAGGAGTGGAGTAGAATTGCTGGGTCATATGGAAGATATGTATTTAACTTCTAAAGAAACTGCCAAAGCACTTTCACAGTGACTGTACCATTTTCCAGTCCCACCAGAAACTGTGAGGGCTCTCCTTTCTACATATTGTGCCAACATTAGTACTTCTTATATTATTTTAGAGTGAATCAAAGTCACCATGTTGTTTGATCCATAAATATTTCAGTATGTACCTATAAGAAACAGGGACTCTTTCAAAAACATAACTACAATGCCATTATAACAAAGAAAAAAGTTAATCTTTAATATCATGAAATACCAAATCAGGTTCAAATTTCCATTGGTCATAAATGGATTTAAACTTTTTAAAAATCAGAATCTAAATATTGTCCTTACATTATGATTGGTTAATATGTCTCTTACTTTTTTTTTTTTTTTTTTGCGGTACACGGGCCGCTCACTGTTGCGGCCTCTCCCGTTGTGGAGCACAGGCTCCCGACGCGCAGGCTCAGCGGCCATGGCTCCCCGGCCCAGCCGCTCCGTGGCATGTGGGATCCTCCCGGGCTGGGGCACAAACCCGTGTCCCCTGCATCAGTAGGCGGACTCTCAACCGCTGCGCCACCAGGGAAGCCCAATATGTCTCTTAAGTCTCTCTTGATCTAGGGGATCTCATTCCTCCAAGCACCCCCGTACTGGATTTTGCTGATTATTTCCTTGTGGTGTAATTTAGTATGTTCATCTATCCTTCATCCTATGTGGCCTGGATATGCTGGATCGTGTGTGTGTGTGTGTGTGTGTGTTTAAGAAAAGCTAGAAATTCAGGCTTTTATGTGAAATTAGCCAGCAACTAACTCAAATTTAAAAACGAAAACAAAACACGGTGTTGGCCAAGTGTAACACATTTGTGGGCCAGTCTAGTCAGCGGACTGCCAGTTGGAGAGCTGTTTAAAATATAGAAGTGGCTAGGTAGGTGACCATCAGCTTGCTCAGTTAAATGTTACTGTATTTATTTTCTAAATTCAGTTTGTGAGAAAAACTAAATTGAAGTATCATTACTCCACTTGCTTTATATTTGAAAACAGTTTAAAATATGAAGTTATTGAGGAACATAAGACACTTGTGTTCTAATATTTAGTGAAAAGAGCAGAATTGTATTCTAGTATTTAGTGAAAAGTTTAAAACAACTTTTTAAAAAAAGGAGAAAAAAACACCGAAATGGTAGTTGTCTTTAGGAATTATGGGAATTTTTTTTCTTATTTCATCTCCAGATCTGACCTTTATTCTGAGCTCTGGACAAGTATATCGGATTTCTTAACCCCTGTTTCCACTCAGATGGCTCATAAGCGCCTCTGTATGTTAGAAACCAACCTGTCCTCCCACTCCCTTCACCCTCAACCTGTATGTACTCCTTCTCTAGTTTTTCTTTTCTTAGTATCTGGGACCACCAGCTGCTCATTTTCTCAAGTCAGAAATCTTTTATTCTTATCTTCTCATCATCAAGTTCCATAGATGTGTGTTCTAAATAAATAGATCTCCAATCCATTCACTGCTCTCTGTCATCACCACTGTGACTGTTGGGTCTAGGCCATCCTTATATCTCTTGGACCAGGGCGGTCTCCTCATACCTGGTGCCCTAGCATTACTCCAATTTGTATTTTGTTTTGTAGCTGGAATGATCTTCCTAAAAGCCAAAGCCAGTCATGTCACTCCCCTTTTAAGCCCATCAGTGGCACCCTGTTCCCCTTAGGGGGAACTCACAACTCTTAGACTGCCAGTCTTTCTGTTAGCCAGCCTCCTCTCTAGTCTCATTGCCCTTCCTTTCTTTAGTTTCTTAGTTCATGTGTGTGAAGCTTGGTGATTTTTTTTTTTTCCCCCGGTACGCGGGCCTATCACTGTTGTTATTTTAGAATGAATCAAAGCCATCATGTTGTTTGATCCATAAATATTTCAGTATGTACCTTTAAGAAACAGGGACTCTTTCAAAAACGTAACTACAATGCTATTATAACAAAGAAAAAAGTTAATCTTTAATATCATGAAATACCAAATCAGGTTCAAATTTCCATTGGTCATAAATGGATTTAAACTTTTGAAAAATCAGAGTGGGGGCTACTCTTCATTGTGGTGCACGGGCTTCTCATTGCGGTGGCTCCTCTTGTTGCAGAGCACAGGCTCTAGGCGCGCGGGCTTCAGTAGTTGTGGCTCGCGGGCTCTAGAGCGCAGGCTCAGTAGTTGTGGCACATGGGCTTAGTTGCATGTGGGATTTCCCTGGACCAGGGCTCGAACCCTTGTCCCCTGCATTGGCAGGCGGATTCTTAACCACTGTGCCACCAGGGAAGCCCGGACATGTGATATTTTAAAAAAAGCATTTCACAGAGGAAAAACCCAAATGGCTGATAAACCTAGATGAGGTGCTCAAACTCATGAAGTACCAGGAAATGCAAATTCAGTCAACATCAGCCTTGATTTTCCCCCAAACTGGGAAAAATGAAATGTTTGATGACATCAAGTTTCATTAAGGATGTAAGGAAACTTTCATATACTTTGGGGATCCATTTGGCAACTTCTAGTAAAATTAAAAATGTGCCATCTAGATATATATATATATATA